CCCCACATTATTCAACGTAAACAAAAATTTTCGCTCGTTCCTCAAAAGCAAAAGCACCACGAGAATGCACCCGAGTTCAAAACAAGTTTTGAAACTCCGAGGAAACGACAGTTCTAACAAAACCAGTACCGTCCTGACACCTTAGATCTCCGGTTTATGCGAGTCGGTTTCACTACCTACGCGTACCAAAGTCTCAAGTGTCTACGCAAACTCAACCCCAAGTAGTTTATACTAGCAGTCAGCACCATCCTAAAACACTTCTAAGCGAGCGACCGATGCAAATAAGTGTATGATCTCCAAAAAGATGAAAAATCATGAAAGGAGAGCTAAATAGCCCAAAAATATAAGATACATTTCCTTCTAAGTTAGGTGCTCCTCACCCGAGCATTTAGCCCAACGACACGAAAACTCATTGAAAAATCAATGACATAAGCTTATGATCAATGAAGAAGATCAAAAACAAGAAATGAGATCATATTCACTAACAGGTCGACTTGCCATGAAAGTGTACGGACAACGGGCTTAATGTGATTGCGCTAGAACAAACAGGGTGAACTTGCCGCGAGAACCTTGACACCAAGCTACAGTAGCATGACTGGGACCGATTTGCATAAAAAGGAGACCTCCGAAGACTTGTAGTCCAGTGTCGTCATGATACTCGTCTTGTTCTTACCAAGAATCCCGGTTTTTCCCAACTCTGCGAACGAAGAAGCTGCCTCGTGCTTGCCGACCTTTTCATGTTTTACTTGAGGACAAGCAAAGATTCAAACTTAGGGGAGTTTGATAACACGAAATCGTATATATATTTTGATGCATAATTCAACTAAAGTTTAACCGTTTTCGATCCGATTTCGGGTTATTTCCGTGTTATTTGTCTGATGTTTTGCAGGTATTCAACGATCACGTTTAAACAAGGCAACATGAAGAAAAGAAGCAATCTCAGATGAAATATGGACGAAAAAAGAGTGAAAACATCATGAAAAGCGCAGAAGGTTGTTTTTGCTGATGTGACGACCGTCACAGCTCCATGACGGGCGTCACACGGGTGACGACCGTCACACCTTGTGACGACCGTCATGCAGGCAAAAATGCCCCACTTCAATTTCACGTAACAGAAGCAGTTCCAATTCCCACAGAGTGGACCACTACTCCCTGAATTATCTGCCTCAAAGTCCATCATCTTCAATGATAACCGTTAGAATTCCACTTCTATAAAAGGGGAAGAAGGGGACCTCAGAAAGGGAGTCGCATTCATACAACGAAGTGCTGCCAAATTTATTTCCAGAGCATACTTTCCAGTTCAATATTCTTATTTGTTTCTCTTTACCTTTTCCTGCATTCCATTTTCATTCTTCTGTAATTTCTACTTTTATTGTACGATCAATTTGGCATAAAGACCAGAATCCTGCCAACATCTGTGGAGGATCTGCCCAAAGGTCAATTGGAATATTTACAGGTTTCTCATTTCAATCGTAATTCCAGTTTTATTATAATGCAAATTATTATTTATTGTTCTTATTTATGCTTTATCTTTCCCAAATCCATGTCTAGCTAAACTTAGGTAATCGATATGTGGTAATAATTTGAATGGGATTTGATAACAACTGGTTGAAAAACTTTCTTTTCAAAAGTAATTTATGGTCTGAGTGTTTAAAAGTGATTTACTGAATAAACTTCGTCGCGAAAGCGAGAACCTATTTAAAAGTAGTTTTGCCACGAAAGTGGAAAATTAATTAAGATACGAACCAACAAGCGAAAGCTGCGGTAAGGTCAGATAGTAAACACTAGTCATTCATTTTAATAACAACGAAAGCACTCTAAAATGAATTAGAACTTAGAGATTTCCAAAAAATAATTTTAACCCCGAATGGGATACGAAAGTGTACGTTTGGCCCTTAGAATTATGATTAGCGTCAATAACCATCGTGAGGCGAGAGTCTTCAAATCACCTTTTTCTGCTTAAATAAACTTTGAAAATTATTTCATACACCAGTAACTTGTCAAATCCCTGAAAAACACAACTACTGCATATCGATTCAATCATTTATAATCTAAGTAGCATTCTTAGTTCCCTATTAGTGACAATCTTATTCCCTTAAACATATTCTACCTAGCTAAACATAGTAACTCCCGAGAACACTAGTTTGATTACGAGTCCCTGTGGGATCGATATCTATTATTACTACGCGATAGACTGTGCACTTGCAGTTAGGTTGTATTAGACATAGAAAGTCGCGATCAATCATATATGCCAATAATTGTGAATTTTGCTAATGTACCAAGTTATAGATGGCATTCAACAAGTTTGTGGCTCCCTGGACTCCAAGATTTACTTGTAGCAGCTGAAGTTTTAAGTGCATTTTTGTCCGGGTATAACATGTTGTGCATGAGGTCGATGTGATGGTTCTCCTTGACAAGGTTGTTGTATAGGTCCAAAGAATGAGAGATATTGGAACGCTCTTTGACCAACTTTTTGGAGGAACATGATATTGTTTTGTAGGGCCAGATGAAGATGCCACCAAAACTGGACCGCCTTCCACTAAAATAGGGGAAGACGGGGTGGGGGGTTCGGCAGCTTCAACGGCAACTCCAACAATTTTGTATGTCACCATGCTCGATGAAATTTATAATAGATATATCTAATGAGGAGATTGATGTATTGGGGTGCATATTTATCTGCTTATGATCAGAGTGAAAGTCAACCTTTTTCTTAATCTTTTGAACATTTTGTCATAGGTCTTGCAGACGATCCAAAACAAATTCATTTAATAACTAATATATTTTGACTATTTAATAAACTAAATATATAGTAATTATTCAAAACAAATTTAAAATAAATTTCAATCACATTAGTCATATTTTGTGGAACAGAAATCACAGCTAATTTAAATTTATAATGCAAAAGTAGCAAAATATTGACCATGAAGTCTCCTTTCTAAATTAACTTATATATCACTACCATTTGGTTTCATCTCAATCTTGCAAGTTCAATTAATTGAAAGGCTGGTCAAAAGAACACTTGATGTAATAAATGATTATTCCATCGTTCGATTCTTGTTTGTCTGAACCTCAAAAATAACGTATATGTGTTTTGTGGTACTGAAATCTATCTTTTACATATTCTTCTAATTTTAAAAACGACACTTCTTTTCCTCAAAAACAAAGTGTCGCTTGTTTAAACATTTTACACCTGGTTTTATATTTAAAGAGAATATTACTATTTTCATTCGTAAAAATAGTATCTCTAACAAAATGAAATGAATTAAAATTGATTTCATTAATGACTAATGTTTTCATAAATTTATTTTTAAGACACCGAGTTAACTTTACGATTTTATCATAGATTTTTTTGTTGATTGTAAAAAATATATAATCCCTATTATTTAATAAAAAAAATTGTAATTTATTATATAAATATAAAAGTGTGTGTGTGGTGTGGGGAATAAATTTCAATATACTTAACGATTAAGGATCCATGGAAAATGACGCGTAAGAGAAAGCTTGAGGAATACAAAAGAAGAGAGATAGTAGGAGTGTATGTAATAAGAGAGATTCTGGTTTCTATCATGGCTGAGATAAAGAGGTCTCCATTCACCCCACTCTAAAAGAAAAAGGAAAAAGTGTGTCTAGGAATTGAAGGATGTCATTTTTCATTTGTGGGAATATTTGTGCTCTTGTGGACGAGGATCTTCTATCTTCTCTATGCTATAGTGGCACATATACATCCAAACCTCTAGATCCAAAAGTTTTTTGGACTATTAATCAACAAAGTTTCTTTTTTTTTTCTTGAAGTTGGAAATTATTTGAGAAAAGTTATAACTTTAATCAATAAAGTAGTTTTTTATTAACCTATTTGATGTTAACCGTTATTAATTCTAAATATGTAACTAATAAGTCTATTAAATTTGAGTATTGCATCTATAGTGTTATATATAAAAATACAAATTTTATTTAAAAAATGTAAGAAATTAATTTCATAAAATAATTGTTGTTATATTTAAAATATATCTTAAATCAAATAATAATACTAAGTATGTAAATAATAATAATAATAATAATAATAATAATAATAATAATAATAATAATAATAATAATAATAATAATAATTTTAAACATGTACACTTAATTAAGAGTGAATATAGGTGAAGTTGAATAATAAAAACATATAGGGTTTAGTCTACATCGCATTCATATTACTCTTTTTCTATATTTTACAAAAAAAATGTCCAAAGTTAAGATTTTTTTTATAAATATGTTTTATTAAAAATATTTTAGAGTGTCATTCAATAAAAATATATTATTTTGTCGTGTTATATAATTAGTTTAAAATTTTTAATATGACGAGATGCATGGTTGTTATTGGTTGATAATATAAAAAAAATTATACTGTTAATGCATATTTTTTTCTTATTTAAATAAATAAATACAATATTAAATTTTGTGTGTTTGTGTTAAAACATGGATAAACACTTGATTGGTCATAAGTACAACTAAAATTCATTTAGACACGGACCAACATGAAAAGTTTAAGAAAAAGAAAATATTTAAAAATTATATATTTTGAAATATTTAAATAATAGATATTTTTATGAGTGTGTGTGCCTGAACAAATTTTGTATGAGTTTGTGTTTAGTATTTCTCTAAAAACATTTTTTTTAGAGAAAATATTTCTTTATTAATTTAAATTTAGGCTTAATATCCTTTTTAGTTTCTTACCTACATCTCGGGGGTCTATGTTGGTCCTCTTTTTTTAAAACGTCTAAATTAGTCTTTTACGTTGTCAAACAAATTCAAATTAGTACTTTCTATCAAATTCTGCTAGACAGCATTAGTTTCCATGACGTGACAGCTAATGTGGAATGTCCACTCAGCATCTTCTTCTTCATTGATGCTGAAACACATAACACACTTTCAATTTACCCCCAAATTGAAACCTAACGTGAATTTTCCATCATAATCCCCAAATTAAAACCTAATTCGTGTCAATTTTTGCAATAATAATGAGTTCTGGGCGCAGATCATCATCATCATCATCGAAAAACAGAAGTGATTCGCATGTCTTTAGCATCTCGAATCTTCCATGGAAGCCTTTTTGTCGCTGTGGAGACATTGTTGTACTTCGAAGGGCAAGAATTGTCAACAATTATGGAAAACTTTTTTGGGGTTGTCAACGTTTTAAGGTAAACTTTAGTCGAATCTCTCTTGGCTGAAATATTGTTGAAATGTCTATTTACTACATTGCAATATTCTTTCTTAATCTCATCAGAGATATAGTAATGATGGTTGTGGATTCTTTGAATGGTTCTATGAAGAAGTAAGAGATGGAAAGGAACAAATCATGATGAAGCAACAAAGTAAGATAGAAGAACTAACTCAAGAGATGGAGGAAGCCAAAAATTAAGTTGAAGAGTTCAGGCTCAAGAGTCTGAAGCTAGAAGATGATTTAAAGAACACCATTAAGTGGAAAACTTTTGGAAGTTTTTGTTCTATGTTGTGTTATTTGTTTTAGTATTCGAGTTGTTGTAAAAGTTGGATGTTTATTGTTGTCAATGTTATGTTCTATATTGTGTTTATTATTGTGTTATGTAAAAGTTGATCATATCAGTTCAAACTTGCATTATTGAATCTTTAATATTTTATGAATGTTATATGAATATTTTGACATTATTTTGTTACATTATTTAGTTGCACCAGTTGAATGTTGAATGATAAAACATAATTAGAATTGCATGTTGAATGATAAAACTGAATTGTAATTAAATGTTGAAGTTGAGAAACTCCACTTCATTAAACATTGTTCAAAATAACAGACACTTGTTACATAAACTTGATACTTGACATAAACCTTGTCTCAAAACATACATAACATAAATCTTGTCTCAAAACATACATGACATAAACCTTGCATAAACATTGTCTCATAACACACATGTTCTCAAAACATACATGACACCAACCATGTTCACAAAACATAAATTACATATAATTCATTCAAATCCAGACATTGTTAAAACCCTTTCATTAGATTGTTTCTTTTTGTTGGAGTGGTCCTCCTAGTTGTAGGTCCCACTGCATTTTGTGATGCATTAAGTCTGGTAGTTGGACCCTTTGTAACAGATGACCGAGTAGGCTTAGTAACATGTAACTTTTTTGGCCTCCCACCTTGCTGAGATGAATGATTTATTTGAGATGGTTGTGTTGCACCCTTTGTAGCAGTTGTCTGAGTATGCTTACTAACAGGTAACTTATTTGACCTCCCACCTTGCTGAGATGACTGAGTTGTTTGAGATGTTTGTGTTGCACCCTTTGTAGCAATTGACTGAGCTGGTTTCCTAATATGTAACTTATTTGGCCTCTCTTATTATTGTAATGCATGAGTTGTCTGAGATGCTTGTGTTGCACTGGCTTGAGTTGTTTGTGCTGGTGGATGAGATGTTTGTATTACATTTGCTTGAGTAGTTTGAGTTGGTGGGTAAGATGCTTGTGTGGCACTTGCTTGAGTTGTTTGAGTTGATGGCTGAGTCCTCTTAAAAGTTGATTTATTGTGTCCAGTTTGTCTACACATCTAAGTACTATGTTTTGACCCATAAATTGGTTTCGTTAACAAGATGAATGATAGACTCATAAACAGATTGATACCTTGACTTCTTATAAATGTCTGGGATGTAATCATCAACCCTTAGACTTCTACTCTTCATTGCAGAAATTGCATGAACGCAAGGGAGAGCTGTTAGTTGCCACTTTCTGCATGAACATTCATGCTCCTTTAAGTTGACATAATATATATCACCTTGACTCTCAATGTTTCTGACTTCAAAGATGAAATTAGATGACATCCTACAAAAATGTTAAGAAATTCAGAAATTACATGAACACAAAAAATTCAAAAACTCACATATTGCATTAACAGAAAATTTACCTTACTATCCAGTAGTTTGTGAAATTGCATGTTTCTCCACTTTCTCCTTAATGTTTGGAAAAACATCCTCATCACTTAAATGTGGGAATCTCACCCTATTAGCTGCCAATTTTCCCATGTTGTAGCCCCTTATTTCTTCTAGCATGGTCACCAATGGCTTTGCTCTTGACTCTACAATCACACTATTGAATGCCTATGACATGTTATTCAATACATAATCACACTTTGAAGTTGTCCTGAAAAAGGATTTGCTCCAAAATATGGGTGGAGTTTGCATCATGTGCTTGTAAGCCTCTTCATGTAACTGTCTCATTCCTCTCATCTCCCTTTCTCATGCTTGTGGCTAGGTAGCCCTGACAGCCTTCCAAATGATCTCTTTCAACATTTTTCCAGGACACTTCTTCCTAAAATTGTTGTATAAGTGTCTTACATAAAATCTATGTTCAACGTTGGGTAGTAATTCATCCATTGCAGGAAGAAGACCCTGCAAAATTAAACTAAATAATAGTCACTAAATACATTTATTAGGTACATCATACTTTAACTGAATGTGAAGAAAATAGGTTGGTACCTTTTGCTGATCAGAAATGAATGTATAGGTTCTACATTTTTCTCTACCTCCTAGATCATCAATAAAGAGTTCCAAAAACCATGTCTAGCTGTGAACATACAGTGCAGGTAATGAAATACAATGAAAATATGAACACACAGTGAATACATAAATACATTGTTCAAAATGACCTTGCCACCTTCGTAAAGGACGATGCACCATCGTATTCTTCAATGGATTCGTCGTACTATCGTCGTTCTCTTTTCTTCCTCTGTTAGGGTTCCTATTTCAGCATTTTTTAGAATGAAAAAATTATATGGGAATATAATGTGAGTTACAATGCCACCTATGCAGTATTTTTAGTGATCATGCCACCTAAACTAGGCTTTGATGCCACATACGCAACATCTTACCGCGTCACTAACATTTCTAACAGAAAGGACAAATGTGGTTCCCTTTTAATAACGTAAGGGACCAATTTGAACGTTTTAAAAGAAAGAGGACCAAAATGGACCCAAAGGTATAGGTAAGGGACCAAAAAGGATATTAAGCCTTAAACTTATTAGCTTTACATTGTGTTGTTTTTTTGCTTTTACATTGTTGTGTTTCTTTTTCCGATTTTTTGGTGTATTACTTATATGTTGTTGTAGTTTATGTCCGCAACCCTTTTATTTTGTTTATTTTATTTTTTATTTGTAAAAAACTTACATTAATATTTGAAATAACTAAATATATTTAAACACATACCATATTATTTATTGGTGAGACCTAAGTTACCTTATCAAAAACATGGATAAATTATCCATTTTACTTGTACAAATAAGATTTTGCAACATTTGTTCTTTTTAAAATGATTTTTACTATTATTTTAGTAATATTATTGAAGATTAAATCAATAAAAAAATGAAAATATATGAGATAAAATTGTAAATGAACGAACATAATAAAAAACAAAACATAAGAAAAAATAGTGAAAAGAAGAAAAAAAAAATTTTTTTGAACAATTTTTTCTTATGAATAATATAGCATCACACTTCTTCTGATGTTTAATATTATTTATAAAAATTAAAATGAGTTATTTATGTTTAATTGATATCACATAAGTAATTTACCTTTCATTTATGTTAGAATGGAAAAATTCGAATCAAACTATGATGTTTGAATTTGGTTGTTTTTAATTCGGACAAAACTCGAATTCAACCAATGAAATATGATGTTAATTGATAAGGGTAAATGGTTTTCAAAATTTTACCTTCGAGTTCGTCTTTTCAAACCAACCATAGTTAATTCGTATAATTTATATCATCGTTATCATGGAAACTCGTATAAAGTATTCAACTTTAACCATAAAAAATGAAATGTAATGTGTGAGATTCACAATCTATACGGAGAAATGAAAAAGTTAGGAATTTGATATTATTATGAAAAATGAGTTAATATAAAATAGATTTTTTTTATAATTTTTTTTTGCACATTTATTTCTAATATATCCAATAAATCCAGTCGAAATCAATCATTTGTTTCTCGGTTTGATTCAGTTTGAGATTTATCGCAAAAATGTGAAAATTCAATCTAAATCAATTCATACATTTTTAATTGATTTATGCATTAGATTCTCTCGAAACCTAATCAAATTTGGCTCGCGA